TGTGTGTGTGTGTTTGTGCATGTGTATGTACGTGTGTGTATGTGTGTGTGTGTGTGTGCGTGTTTGCTTGCATGCGTTTGTGTGTGCGTATAAGTGTACGGGTATTCCAGCACAGAACAACTCACCAGCACTGGTCCCCGCTATGCCCAGCACCACGGCTGGAATGACCAACACAGCCGCTCCGACAGCACCCACAAAGGACAGCACCTGGGCCTGACGCGCCGTACGCACTGACAAAACACGCTGGAAGTACGACTGCCATGGGATGGTGCCCAGCGTCTAAACAGCAACAACAAAAAATAAAAAAAAAATTCCCAAAAATAAATAGATTTTAGAGCGTAAATGTAAAGTTACTTCAATTTTGTGTCTTCAGCATAATTCCGTTTTGTGGAACAGCCAGAAGTAAAAACATGAGAGAAAATAGAAAAGTCAAGGGATTTTTTTTTAATTTTGAAAACAAAACAAAAAACAAAACAAAAAACAAAACAAAAAAGCAACCCAAAATAAACCACCATCCTGAACCTAAGGTAATATCCAAACAATTTTGGCAGGATTTTGAGACACTACTGTTACCTGAATAATTTCAAATGATAACCAGGACAGTACACAGTGACAGAGTGCTCACAACGGCAACTCCCACATCACTACAGCAACAACATGTTAACATCCTTTCATCCCTCAAGATACCTTAGTCATAACGTCATACTCACCATGGCAACCCCTGCATCACCATAGCAACAGCTTATTCACCATGGCAATACAAACAGCTCATTAATCATGGCAACTCAAATGTTACGGTAACAACAGGGTATTTTCATCATGGCAAACCCATACATTACCATGGCAACAGTGTACTCATCATGGCAACATGCACATCATATACAGCTAACCACCTATACATTACGGTATCCACAGCATACTCATTATGGCAACCCAAACATTACCATAGCAACAGCATACTCACCATGACAACCCAAACATTATCATAGCAACAGTATACTCACCATGGCAACCAGCAGGTCTGCCCAGACCCCAGCTTGCTCAGCCGGTAGTTGTCCAACCCAGATGTCGCGAGTGGCCCACATGTCACCGATACGATCATCCGAGAGAACAAAGGGTAAACTGACCACCTGGGGAGGGGTATGGGGGGGAATAGGAAGATGGAAACATGACACGAACAGGTCATGTAATATTGGAAGCAAGTTTTGGGGGCACACCCAAAAAAAAAAAAAACAATCATTAAAATGATAATGGCCTTTGTTTCTGTGAGTGCCAGCATGTGGGAATATGTTGTGTCATGATTTCAGGAAAAAAATAATACTAGCAACCTTTGCCTCTTCTTCTCTTCACATATCGTAGGACAGCAGCACAACTATCATAACTCGGGTGTTTCAAATTTTACAGTAGGGGAAAAATACTGAATTTTCAACACTCTATCCATCAATACTACCTGGAATTTCAATTTAAAAGTGTATTTTAAAAAAATTATCTCATACTACTGAGGTTTTTACAGAACATGTGCACCTTCCCCTGCCTTGGAATAGGTCAAAAAGTGATTTTTCCCAAAACATCAAATTACAACACTTGAGCTGTTATCCCGCGACATGTCCCAGTTCTGAAGTAAGTCGATCTTGGTCTATCTCTACACTGAAGTTTTGCTCATAGGTAAGTAGGTTATTTTTGGTCTACCTCTGCTCATAAATATGTTATTCTTGGTGAAGTCTACAAATTTCTTGTGGTCTATCACCACACAGAAGTTTTTAAAAGTAATTTTTCTTCTTTTCTACCTCTACACTGAGGTTCTCAAAGTAATTTTTCTCAGTCTTCCTCTACATCAGAGGTCTCAAATTTGCACCCAATAGGCCAATTGAGGCCCACAGGATAATATTTTGCAGTTCCTACTTGACATCAAAGTTTAATCTTTAGTGCTGCCAGCAAGTTTTTCTCACAAACACATTTTGCAGAGGTGTTGCCCCAAAATATATTTTTTACCACTTAAGGGCTACCATTGCACAGGTTCATGACAGCTTACAGTAGTATTTGTTGATCAGTTTTTAAATGTGATTTCTGAGTTCCGATCTACCCTTACAGCATTTAAGCTTTAAAGGTCACTTGCATAAGACAATCACCTGTACAAATGGCCACGTCCCATTTCCTCTCCTTCATTTCTTTTGAAACATTCTAATGACACTGTGTAAGACGGTAAGACAGTCACTTTTCTCTTCGACAATGGGTGATCATTTTAAGTTCCACCGTAATTTATCCTCGGTCTTTCTACACATTACGCTGCCAAGAATTACAAAGTCCCATCTTGGGGCTCTCGTGGCCTAGAGGTAAGGTGTAGGCCTCTCATTCAAAAGGTCCCGGGTTTGAATCCGGGTAGCGACTGAAAAATTTTCTTCTCTAAAATTGTCTCCTTTTACCTCTTTTCCTGCTCTCTAGCAATATTCTGTCGTCTGCTTTCGTCTCCTCTTTCTGCCCCACCCCCTCACCTCCTTTGCCCCCTCCTCTGGACTCCTGACTCTTTCTGCAGCCTTTCTACTGCTACTCCTTGACTCCTTCTTACAGCTATCTTTCTGCCACACACCCGATCTTCTGGTAGGAAAGATCTACACCTAGCCTTCTCGGACAAGGGCGAAAAATTTCGGAAGGCCCGTGTGCAAGTTGTGCACGTTAAAGATCCCTTGGTGGTCTAAAATCGATAAGAGAAGGCTTCGGCCGCCACCCGGGCAAAATTAAAAATTTCCTACCAACTAAAAGTATTAGGTGTGTCCCATGTGCTCATATGACCTTATGCAGTTGCGAGCGCCGTAAAACTCTTTACTATAAAAAAAATTACTAAATAAATAAAAGAATAAATTAGACATTAAAAATTAGAGTTTCACAACACATCAAGCCTATTCGAATGCAACTCTTAGAACATCTTGATAATGACTCCGAATAATCTTACGATTTTTATAGAGTTGATAAAACATTAGGTTTCTGACCTCATGATCTTAGTAACTCAAAACAGCCAAAAATGTCAGATAGACCTGTGTTATTCTAAGGCAGCAATAATCAATTATCCAAGTATCCAACTGACAGGCCAACTCTAGTCAGTTTGTTAGTGTTTCAGCACGTACAATCCCCTGACTGCAGAAAATGTTTCAGAGTGCTCTAGGGTTTCTCTCTCTCTTGCCCTTTTTTTAAAACTCCCAGTGGAGCACAGGCCATCAACAACAGTACTCCAGCGAAGCCTGTCCTGAGCATCCTTTTCTATCTGTTTCCATGATGTCCCCGCTTTTTCAATTTCCGCTTGTACCGCTCGCCTCCATGTCATCTTTGGTCTTCCCTTCTTACGCTTTCCCTGTGGGTTCCACGTTAAAGCCTGCCTGATGATGCTTGTCGGGGGTCTCCTCAGGGTGAGTCCAATCCATTTCCATTTCTTCACCTGAATATCTTCCTTTACCGGCCTTTGGCTTGTTCTCTCTCACAGTCGAGCATTTGTGCTTTAGCATTAGGGTTTGTTGGGATAATATTAGTTGCAAACGCATAGATAGAGCACACTGTAGAGTGTGGATATGCGCTATATAAAGACAATTATTGTTTTTACTACCACTATGAAATATTATCACTGCTATTATTATTAATATTGTTGTGGTTATTATTATTATCATTATTACTATTAATATTAAAATTGTTATTGTTATCATGATTATCATTATAATTAGTATTATTAGTATTAATATTACTATCATTGTTATTATTACTATTGTTATTGTTGTTATCGTTCATATCATTATTACAGTTATAATTGTTATTGTTATCATGATTATCATTTTAATTATTATTATCATTCTTCTTCTTCTTATTATTGTCATTATTAATATTACTATCGTTATTATTACCTTTGTTATTATTACTATTATTATTATTGTTATTATCGTTCTTATAATTATTATTGTCATTAGCTCACCAGGCCCAGTGCGATGAACAGGAGCTGGACAATGTCCGTGTAGGCCACCGAGACCATGCTGCCCACCACTGTGTAGCTCAGAGTGACCGCTCCCGACACCACGACCGCCACCGTCAATGGGATGTTGGCGATGACGCTCAAGGTCGTACCTACAAGGTGGAGTATGAAAGAAGGAAGGAGAGAAGGAGTTTAAACAACACAGCAGCAAGCAAACTACAGTCGAACCTGCTCTAATGGCAACTTGTTCAAGACAATAACCGAAACAAACAACCTTTTCCCACTTCCTCCACTGCATTAGAAAAAAATATATAATAATGCACCTGTGTCAAATTAACAGTACTCAAGTTTGTCAATGTCCACATTATTTAGGCCAGCGTGACCCTGGGGTCAGAGTCTAGGCAACACACTTCCAGTGGAAGAAAGCAGTGAGAAGGAATTTTTCGATCTTCCACCATACTCGTTAAGAACGAAACACAAAGTAACAGTAAACTCTGAGAACTCCATCCTATCTGTGTGAAGAGATGAAGCTTTATACTTTTAATTTTTCGAAGATTTGTTATTGATAACAACAGCAGAGAGAGAAAGAAACAAAGATAGAGAGAGGGGGGGGGAGACAGAGAGGGGGGAGACAGAGAGGGGGGAGAGAGAGTACGAGAGAGAGGGAGGGAGAGAGAGAGAGAGAGGGTGAGGGAGAGAGAGAGAGAGAGAGAGAGAGAGAGAGAGAGAGAGAGAGAGAGAGAGAGAGAGAGAGAGAGAGAGAGAGAGAGAGAGAGAGAGAGAGAGAGAGAGAGAAGCAAAAGAGAAAAAGAGAAAGAAAAAGAGAAAGAAAAAGAGAAAGAAAAAGAGAACCACACTTCCAGCTCACCGAGGGCGTTGAGGATGGAGGCCGTCCACAGCAGGTCACCCATCAGACTGGCCAGGTAAAGCAGGAGAGCCACCACGTTGCCATAGTGATGCTGGAACGGGTCCAGCATGGTCAGGTACTGTCGCTCTCGCATCTTGCGGGCGTACAGGGCACCACCTACAGGCCAAACAACCACAGGTCAGTAAAATTTGTAATACCCCCCCTCCCCCAAACTTTATACATATACACTCTTTCTTCTCAAAGTGTTCAAGTGTAAAACAACCACATGTTTTTATCAACCACCACCCCCCCCCCCCCCCCCCAAATGTTTTCTGAAACTCTTCACAGGTGTTGTTACTTGAACATAAAACAATGTTAAACACTAACCTTCTGTCTGCCTGCGCCTACAACAGGGGTTAGCCAAACCTATTTCTCTCCGGAAGGTGATCCTTTCCTCAGCGATGGGGCCCCGATGCGTTGGAATCTCAAACGCAACACAAAAATAAACCGAGACTCTAACTAGCCTTTTCTCCACCCGAACTCTCAGCAGGCCTCCTCCGCCTTGCTACAGCTCTCCCCTCTAAGGTCTGATCTGTAGTAATCCAGACTGCTTTCATACACTTGCATCAAACAATACAACTGAACTGAGACTCACACTTTACTCACTCTCACACTTTCAGCCAAACAATACAATAGGCTAGGCTGCCACTGACCAACACGCCAGATTGCAAATTAAACAACCAAATAGACCACAAAAGGTAACCCCCCCTCCCTCCTTCTACATCTTCTCCTGAAACTTTTCAAAGGTAAAACAACCGTCATATGTGAGGCATGCAAACAAAATTAGTTACTTTTTGAAATCCACAAAAGGAGATATTGGCTAAAAATCGACGATAGGGTCAAATTTGTAGACTTTCTATTGATGCCGTATTCGTTAAGTATAACATGCCTTTTGTTATTTTATACTTATAAATTGTAAATACTTCATCTATAAGCGTGGTGTCTAATTTTACAGGGCTCGAATCCGAGAAGTAACTCATTTCATCAGCACGCTTCACATATATATGAAATCTGTAAATATCCCCTTTCCCTTTTTTTCTCTTAAACATTTCAAAGGCAAAGGAACAAGAAGTAAATATTTCTTACTTGAACTACTATAAATTATAACGATAAAAGACACATGATAATATATACTTCAAGAGTTAACACTTACCAATGTTGAGCCCCAGGAAAATGCCCAAAGGGGCCAACGTCCACACCAGCCCATCCTGGGCCACAGACTCAGCCGTTCCATTAATGTAGCCACCTCCTACTGTTGTCGCTAAAAGCACATACAAAAAAACAATTATTAAAAACAAATATCAAACTCATATTCTACTGATGATAATGCCTAAAAAAAAACCTTCCTTATTGCCATTGCTGAGCTTATGAATTATCATACGTATACATATTCATGCAAGCATTTTACTTGCCATATGAAATAAGACTTACCAAAAGAAATTTGTTTTAAAAAAATATATTTTGTAAACTTTATCTCGATTTCACTGAAGCTCATCATGGAGCATCGCTGACAATATAGTTCCACTCACCAATCATTGTGAAGATAGCCACAAAAGTCTTGAGGTCACGACCCGCTACCACCGACGATTCCAAGCCACCCGTCTCCTGACCTTTGACCTTGACCTTCCATGCTGCCACTAACCCCACCACCACAATGGCCAGGTAGAAAATGACGAGGATGACAACAGCCACTACATTCAAGGCCATTATGACAAGGGCAATTCACACCGCCCACCCCACCCTCTCCCTAGAGCTCACACAACTGAAAGAAAAAAAAAAAGAATATAATGTAAAAATGTAATAAAACAAAATGAGACTTTTACAAATTTCTGTGGGGTAAAGATAAACTTACAATTGCATACATAATCTAAAGGTAGCTTTCAGAAAAGTAAAACATATTACCCACTGCTACATATGTATGTCAATTTCCTTTAAAACTTTTGATCTGTTAACAAGATAACTAAGAAAATGATTTCAAACATCAAGCAGAACCCTCAGAATTGGGTTTTTTAAACAATTGCATGACGGCTGTTTCATGGCACTCATCAACTGCCATTTTTATCATTTAATGCATTAAAAAAACTGTAAGGCCTGTGCATGATAATGATACTTTTTTATACTATCAAATAAACTATCACCCCCACACCCTGATGCACTACTTTCAAGAAATCAGCGAAGTCAGTTCCCTTCCCAAATGTACAGTCCATTAAAAGAAACAAATTCTATATATAATATAATAAGTATAAGACAGCAAATCACAACAATGTTACTTTACAAATTACAGTGCCACAGTCAGATCGAGTCACTAGAATATCTGTCCAGTGATTGAGACCACAGCTCATTCTAACAACAAAAGGGTAAGAAGTCATTAATTCAAATAAATTCAAACAGAGTAATATAGCAGGTACAATCATCAGTGGAATCACTTTTGACACGTGTACACGACAGTAGACATAAAACTGACAATTTAGATAACAATGATATATATTCTCTCCACTGACGTCTACTTAAGTTTTACAGCCTAGCCTTTCTCAAGAAGGCAGAGATTCAAATTGTGTAAATAAAAAACAGGTATCCTCCTTCAGCTCTACGCAGTAATGCCAGTGCCAAATATTTTATATTTCCTGTTCTGTTGTACAGTGTGAGAAATTCGATGCTAAAAAACAATTTCAAATCTCTTGTGCTTCAAAATGTTAGCTGTGGGTAAAGAAAGGGCTCTGCACGTGCGATCACTTAACTCCATAGGAAATTCATATGAGCCAAGGAGCTGTTCAAAGCATGGAGTCGGACACTTCATTTTATATTAAAAGAATATTATATAATTATGGTTGTTATGTGCACAGATACCGTGTAGTGGAGTGGAAGAGAGGATGTGTTAGGGGGAGACGAAGAGTGTTTGTGCACATAAGGGTGTGCACATGTGCGTGCATATGCGCATGTGTGCATGTTTGTGTATGTGTGTGTGTGTGTGTGTGTGTATGTGTGTGTGTGTGTATGTGTGTGTGCGTGTGTGTGTGTGTGTGTGTGTGTGTCACAGCGTCACTTTTCACCCGATTCTGTGACTTTTAGTAGTTAGCGTGACTCAGCAGCCAGCCAAAGCTCCCCGTCTGGGTTAATGAGCCCTGAAGCAACTTTGCCCTTGTCGGTTAAGAAGTTCGCACAATTTTCTACATTTGAAATGATATAATTTCTCCTGCATCCCACACAGCAAACCATTACTCTGATGTACTAAAAAAAAGCACTGTCTTGAGATTTATTCTGCGTTCGAGTGGTTAATTTCTGTACTTTAGTTTTTGTTCTAGACAAGTGTATGAAGAGTACCCAATCTGTATTTTAGTTACATACTTATGAATAAATGATTGTTTATTTAAAAACGGCATGACAGAGATATCTCAACGAATATATATGTATATATGTCTTTTACCATGAGAAATTTAAAATCTGCGCAAGTTGTAATAGTCAAACATTATATAAAAGAGAAGAAAGATGCACATATGCATTTTTAAACTAAAGACACTCAGCGTTAGTTCTTGTTTTACCATTAAACAAGAGAAAGTTACTCTGCGTTTGTTCACGAACCATGCTGTGTTTGGCAGCCTGCTTACAACTAAGAAAGATGTGATTTTTTAAAAACACAAAACTGTAATTAATACACGGGTAGAGATAAGCTTCTTGTATGGAATCTTATCAAAACGATGACAGCTAACACATTCATTCTTAGCTTTTTTTGTGTCGGAAATATGCGTGGACACTTATGAATGTAAAGAAACGAGAACATTGTCAATTATTGCAAATGGTCATAGAAACGAAAATAAAAGCTGGAAAAGTCTGGTGCTGATTCAGTGTCACTGGAAAGTTAAAAATTATTGTTATAAACCAAATAGGAGAAGTCATCCTTGTTATTTAGTCAAACATACAAAACCTAGACTTAGATCTCGCGTTTTAAGAATTTTAACTTATTTTATTTAAGTAAGGAGTTTAGGGAGTGTAACAGATACTGTTTGACATACTATAGTAGATATCTATGTATTCTGACACTGGAATCGGTTTGTACTTTTTGATGGATGAGAGACTTCAGGGTAATTTTTATAAACTTTCGAGAAAATGCGCGAATATTCACGAATTAGACGCATATATACAAAGTGGTATTTGGAGGAATTACTTCATAGCGAATCGTGTGCCAGATGGATAAAGTTGCAAAATTTAAGTTTTCTATATGCGCAGATACCATCTTTTCTGAGTATCTGCAACAATGTTATGTCATTTATGTTCGACAATTTTTTCAGTTTTTGTCATGTCGTTTTTTTCTACTGATTTTTTTTCATTCACACTTGTCCAAAAATTTTTACAATTTAGCACTGCTGACTAGGCTTCCGCGCGTCTAACGAAATAACCAGACAAGTTACAATGTCCGTCTTTTTTGGGGTCTCAAGAGCAGAAATGCATGCTTTCGGTTCATTAATGAATAAATACCATGATAAATTACAAGGATAAACCTAAAACTGTATGTTGAAAAGTACCAAAAATTGAGTCAGCCCAGACAGAGCGGTGACAGAGAGCTGACCCCCGTGACCCCGACGAGATAAGGCACTCAGCGGGGAAGCCCCAGCTACAACTAAAATTCCACTGCTGTTGCCCCATGGTGCGTGTGTGTGTGTGGACGAGGTGAAACACCAAACCAATGTGCCAGGACCTGGACATTAAAAATGTCTTTCTTATCTTATATATATATAATAATCTTATATAGATCTAACTCACTCTCCTATGACATTGAGTCATTACTAACTCTGTAACCCATTTTGAGGGCATTTTAATAAAATATAGTAAAAACTTGTAAGTTAGCCTTTTGAACTTTTTTAAAACCATGAAATTTTATAACATAGATTATTTTTCTTTGTAAATATTTCATGAATGTAGACAAAAGCTACTTTTTACAATTGAAAAAGGCTGGAAAAAAATTTAAAATCTAGGCCTAGATCTAGATCTAGATCTACATCTAGACTGTGGTCATTTTAGAATCTCTCTATGATATTGGTGGCCTTCAGGTCAGGGAAATTTTACAGTCAAATTTCACTATTATTCTAGGCCTGTCCAAATTTGTTGAGTCTGAATGCAATGAAAGTCCTTTTATATCTAAAATTTGGTAAGAATCATAGGAAAATATACAACACCACAGGCTACTCTGAAAAGCAACATGGGGACCAGAAGCCTCACTCTTATTGATCATATAATCTGAGAGTGAGAGAGAAAGAAAAGATGTATATATATATCTAACTACTAGAATCTATTCAATTCCCAGTGCCCATCATTGTCATTGATTGGCTTAAAATTCGGGGCTTACTCTCAGATTCCCTCTCCAACCCCAACCCAGAATAGGCATATGGACTTCCGTAATGATTGAATGACCACCCCACAAACACAAAAGAAGAGACCATCCTAACCCAACCCCTAGGCTACCGAGTCAAACCCTCTATTTTTACCCTGTGAGTGACACTAGTCTACTGGAGTCTACTCTCTCTATAATCTATATCGAAGTGGCTAGCCGTACTTAAGTACGGCTAGACTGAGAGTCTAGCCGTACTTAAGTACAGCTAGACTGCAAGTCTAGCCGTACTTAGATCTAGGTTTGGCCCTCTCGACTCAAGCCTGTTAAGTACACAGGTCTCATTAGATCTAGATCTAGTAATTATTCAGGTTCAAATACATGCAAGTCAGTAAGGCACCTTTTTGTTTTGTCTGAAATACAAATACTTTATGCATTGCAAACTAAAAATTTCATTTACAATTTAGCCATCAATATTAAGTACGGCTAGCCTGACAGTCTAGCCGTCCTTATGTACGGCTAGCCTGGCTGTCTACCCGTACTTAAGTACGGCTAGACTGCCAGTCTAGCCGTACTTATCTTAAGCCCTATTAACATTGGAAAACAGGAGGTTTAAAATACATGCACTGTCATTTAGGCACCTGGTTTCGTCTCAAATACAAATACTTTAGGTACTGCACACTAAAAAAGTATATATTTACAATTCAGTAGGCCTATTTTTTGTTAAATGGTCAGTCTAGCCATCATATTAAGAATAAGTACGGCTAGACTGCGAGTCTAGCCGTACTTAAGTACGGCTAGACTGCGAGTCTAGCAGTCATTAAGTACGGCTAGCCTCTTCCAATCTATATTTACAATCATAATGATCGCTTGTACGGAATCCAAGCACGTCTAACTAAAAGGAAAATTCAACTAGATCTAGTTTCTGACAGTGCTGTGAAACTAGCTAAATCTAGAATCTAGATCTAGATCTAGATCTAGACCTTCTTACTTAGGTTCACCCCTAAGATCAACGAGGTGCCGAAAGGTCTGGAGACGGGATCTCTGCTTTCTCCACTTTCTGTCTCTTGTTTCTACCCTCATGCATGTGCGTTCAGTGAAAGTAGAGTTCTATTTAAATCATATTCAGCCGTTCGACATTCCACTTCCACTTCGAGAAGTTCAAATATATACGTCTTGAGGTCACGCCAAAGGAAAAAGAGAAATAAAGACTGCAAGTTGTTTTGAGGAGTTTTACTCTGCTTCACTTGACAGAGAGAGTTATTGTGCCGCTCCTCGTCCACGTTTTTCTGTTTACAGTTTACAGAATTTTGTTCTATCAGCGAGGTCAAGGTTGACACTACAAATTAAAATTCTGAATTCGGCAAACATGCGTTTAGATATACATGTATAATGAACGAAACAATCCTTAACACAAGTTGGGGGCCTCGACGGATTTGTTACTCTAAAATTTTATTTATTAGTCTTGGTCTTATGCCCCCGCCCCCCAACCCCACCTACTTAGGCCAGTCAGGAGGCGGGGCACTTTGACCCATCCCTTCAGGTCCAACTCGGGCCGACAGACAGATCTGATGGGGATAACGCTTGGGCTGGGATAACGCGAGAAAAAACTTCCTCATGAGGGAATCAAACGTCCGTTTGTGCGCGCAAGGTCGCTGCAGTGGATAGGCCTGAATAAAAATATTATTATTTTGTCTTCAAGTCCTGATGATTTTCATAGCACTATCTCAGACTCAACTTTAAAAAAGTGGGATGGGGTGGTTTTGGGGGGGGGGGGGGGGGGCACTAGAAATAGTTGTTCAGAATCATAGTTTTGCCTTCGGTTAATATACAAAAGCATAATATGCATGGTCCCCTCTATAATTTGGGGAAAAAATAAAAATAAAACAAATCAATCAAATAATCAAACTTAACAACTAAAACAACACAACCAACAACAACGACAACCAGCAACAAAAACAACAACAACAATATCAACAACAATTATAATACAACAGCAACAACAACAACAACGCGACGTGTTACGAAGACGACGACGACAACAACAACAACAACAACAACAACAACAACAACAACAACAACAACAAAAACAACAACAACAACAAAAACAACAACAACAACAACAACAACGACGACGACGACGACAATATTTAACAACAACAAACAATAAAAACAACAAATTCTGTTCAAGTTCTCTCATCATAGTGGCCAGACATATATATATAAATCATATAAGCTTACGTTAGGCTTAATTTACTGTTCTTGGCATATATAATAATATACGGGGCATACCAAAAGTTTTTTTGCCTGACCATGCATGAAGGAATAAAGGTGGAAAGCAGAAATTTGGGGTGAAACCAACAATCATCTTTCGAGAATCAAAGTAAATTTTAGGGAATTCCAAAAACTGGTTTTAACACCAGTGCACTGCTGTAAGTGGAAGGGGATATTTTGTTCTCCAGTTTCAACAAATGTAGAAAATTGAGCACATTAATGAAGTTTTTGTTCTTGCAAGGCAATTAAGCAACTATACAGGGTATATTTATGGGAGATGCATGCCGTATATGGAACTGATTGCCCATCCTATGCTGAGATAAATTTTGGAAGAAAAAAATTTGAATGGGGATTCATGGACATTGAAGATGACCATCGTGATGGTCGCCCAGTGAGAGCAACAACAGAAAAGAATTGCTGAAAATCAAGAAACTTATGTGTCGTCTGATAGGCGGCTGACAGTCGAATGTTTGAGCAAAGAAACTAGGCATAGCGACATTAGATCAGTTGAACGAATCTTAAATGAATATTTGAATATATGACCAAGGTTTCTACAAGAGGGGTCCTACATTTGTTGACTCCTCAAAAAGTGCAACGTGTGGATTGTTGTCAAGAATTGCTTGGTCTATATGAAAAGGATGAAACTAAATTTTTTGAAAGACTTGTAACCATGGATGAGACATGGGTCCATCGCCATGATTCTGAGTCAAAATCTGCATCAGTTCAGTGGAAATCGCCCTTGTCTCCAACACAAAAGAAGGCAAAGGTGCTGCCATCAAATGGAAAAGAGACGCGATCAATTTTTTGGGGATCAAGACGGAGTGATTATTAACAGACTATCTTGAAAATTGATATACGATCATCGGATACCATTATTCTAACCAGCTTAAGAAAGTCTATAAAAGAAAAACGTAAAGGAAAGATTCAGAAAAACATTTTGCTGCTTCACGACAACCCAGATCAAAACAGGTGGCGAAGCTTTTACACAATGGAGTGTAGGCTACTGACAGATCAGAGTAGCGACCACCTGCCATGCTCAGTTCTTATATCAAAGGGTGGAAAGACAGTGAGACAAAAGGTCAAGAGGGTGTTTAAATACAAAACAGACACCTCGGTCTTGGGAGGCCTGTGAAAAAAAGCTTGGAACAGAAGACACTAAAGATCTAATGTTACACAGCCACCATGATGGAGCAATGAAATTGATTGCCTGTGGAAAGAGAAGAGGAATGCTGTTAAGGACTGGTAAAGAAAGAGGAAGAAACCCAAATGTCACAGAGGAAGAAAGGGAGGCAGCTAAAGAGAAGATGAAGCAGGCCCCTGATAAGTTCAAAGCTGAAGCAGATCTGGCCAAAACGACAAAGTGGGGAAAAGTCTGTGAAAAACGTTGCAGCTGAGAAGGCACTCTCAACGTTCTGGAAACTGCGAAAGAAGATCATGTGTAGACAGGATCACTCAAAAACCACCGTGAATGTGAAGGACGAGTCGGGAAATACACTCCAAACTGATGAGGAGAAAGTAGCGCTTTGTTTTTGGATCGATTCATACATCAAACACACCAGGGAAATATTGACTCAAGAAAGGACGTTGAAATAAATTAATGTTTCCAGAGTGCTGACACCAGACATGCAAACTACGAGGACGCAATATCTACAGAAGAGGTTTCAGGAACCATAAAACATGCCAAGGACAGTGCTGGAGAGCCGGGTGGTGTAAGATATTACCACATAAAAGAAGCAGATGATGAGATGATTGCAGAAATAACGAAAGACTTCAACAAAAGCACCGGAACTGGTAAAATCCCTGAAGAATGGTTGCACAGCTGGTTGATACCAATCCTGAAATCAAGACAAGACCACTGGGCTCTCAGTGGTTACAGGATCATAGCCATGCAGAACACCTATGGGAAAATTCTGGACAAGATATTTGCCGGCGAATATCAGCACACTTAGAGAGGAAGTCCTTGTTGCCAAACGAGCTTGGCATCTATTATAGACCCCATCGAGAAACTGCAGTGAATGCGGCTGTCATGGCGTACGACATCTAAAGGCTTTCAGTAGTGGAAGGAAACAGCTGGGACGGCAGTTGACCGTGAGGGTGCTTATAACCGATTAACTATGAACGTTTGATCGACCGCCTTCTGGAATTTAATGTGGGCATATGGCTGGTGAGATGGGTAGCTGTAGCCCTAGTGGAGAGAAAAATGGCCCTGAGTTAGGGTGAATGGACTTCAGATGCGGTATCAATTGCTCCAGGACTGCCCCAAGGATCCCCCTCCTCTCCTGTGCTTTTCAATGTGTACACTGCACAGGTACCGATGCATCAGGAGGAATCTGGACGTGTCCTGAACTTTGTGGATGACATAATGACATACGAGCACGGAGATGACAGACTTCAGACGGCAAGGAACATGGAGAAAAGACTTCAGTCAGTTCAGTTGTAAAATACAGCAACCAAAATGAAGCAGTTATCAATCCTTCAAAGGCAGAGATACTTTGGTGTTCCCTCGAAAACAGGATTGTCCAAGACATAACTCCGCCAATCACTTGCAAATATGAAATTATCGACAGACAGTCAGAGCAGAAGTATCTGGGAATCGTCTCGACAGGTCGTTGTCCTTCACCAAGCATGTGAATCATGTGGTTACAAAGGCCAAACGAAGTGTTGGTGCAATCAATACCATGGCGGCCGCTCTGATTCCGCAAAGAGTGCTCTTCCAGATGTTGCAGCTGGTCGTCCTGTCTGTCACTGATTACGGATTGGGCTGTCTCACGCTGTACGACACACAGATCGCAAAGCTGGATCGAGTGCAGAATGAGGCAATGAGAGCAGTGCTGGGCTGCACCAGGGACACTCCAATATTGTCCATGCGCTACTTGCTAGGTTTAAGTGGCATCAGAGTACGACATAGGATAGCTCAAGCAAAGATGTATCTCAGTGTAATGGGCAAGAAGGATCATCCAGTTCACAAAGCACTTCATGACAACAAGAGAGGCAGAATCAAAAGAGGAAAATCTTGGAAGGCGGAAGCGGAGGATTCCCTGAAAAAAATTATGTGTACCTGAGAGCCTACCGCTTGGCAAAGAAAGGGAACAGGTGGCAGAAGAATACGAGGATTTCACCAAGGTCAAAATAAGCATCGGCAGAGGCAGAAGAAACTTTGCGGCTTCCGTCGACGAGAGCGATATCACCGAGATTGTTGACACAAACTCAAAAGTAGGGGATCCTGTTATTTATACAGATGGTTCAGTGAAAAGAGATAGCCAACAAAGTGGATGGGGATTAATTTGTTGCATTCGCCAACAATAAAATCATTCACAGTGCATCTGGAGCCTGCAGCTGGGCTACATTAAGTATGCGAATGGAAATTGAAGCCATCACGAAAGCACTTGATTGGATGACCCAAGATCACCCCCACACAACCCATGCTGTTCTTATCATTGATTCCATGTGTACCCTCAGAAGGATCGAAAAAGATTTCCTGAGAATACAATTGATTCAAGATATCGAAGCAACACTTCTATACGACCGCTCACATGGAATTTCTGCCCTGGCCATGCAGGTGTTAGAGGAAATGAAAAAGCCGACAGACTGGCTGGTGAGGCCACCTGAGTAGACAGCACGGTTCAACCAGATAGGGTCGAGATCCTGAAATGTCTCTCTCGCCAGCTGATTGAGAAGGAAGATAAGGAAGCAGAGGCCAGTACTGCCGTGGAGGGGATGATGCTTTTGGGAATACAAAAAGGAAGCGGGAAATCTGGCATCCTTGCAGGAAAGAACAGAAAAACGTTCAACCAGATATGCACTGGCACAGTCAGTGGAAAGACTCTCGGCGACATTTTGGAGAGACCAACGGAGCATCAATGGACATGTCCGGAGTGCAGGGATGTTGCTTCCTGAAACAATGAAAAATGAACAATGAACGACAACGAGCCAGCTCACACTTCAAGAAAAGCTGCAGAAACTGCGCGAGAAAGTGGCTATGAAATTATGTCACTTCCACTCTATTCTCCAGATTTAGCCCCGTGCGACTCTA